GATATTTACGGACAAGCTTTAGCAGATCGTCCCCCAGCCACTCTCGTTGAAAAACATAAAAGACGTCTATAGACGTCTTTGGCAGCCAATGAGTTAATTACAGAAAACCCAACAATTCCCACCATGAGCAAGCACTAGGCGACACAGGCAAGGAAAAACTTCCTTTTAACAGGCAGAAACCTGGAGCAGAACCATTACTCAGGGTGGGCGGCCATCTACCTCGGCCGGTTGGGGGTGAGAGAGAGAGAGGACAAGAGAGAGAGAGAGGGCGAGAGAAGGACATTTCTGCTGATTTAGACTCAGACTCAGACTTAGACAACTTTACTGTCATTTTCTATGTACAGAGTTTGGTTCCTTCACCTCAAATAAACAGCATCAGCATGTTATGGAAGCCTTTTCTTTGGTTTGATCACAGATAAACAGCCCACGTTAACCAGAAGTTGTCGCTTGAATTTTTATCTTTGCTTCGTGTTGAATTTCCTTTTCAGCTTTTTTTTCCCCCTAAAAAGCCACAGACGAGTTGTTCAGCAGCCCGACTGTCGACGGGGGTTTTGTAGAGTAAATGAACAGCTTTTGTAACAGGCAAAAGTCAAAAATAGGAAGAGAACTCAGATGCCTGGACATCTGTACGCATGCCGTCTGTGGTAAGGAGCTGTTGAGGGGAAGTTGAAAGATTTACCGGCAAGGGTAATGATTAATAATTTGTAATCCTGTGGAAGTCAGAGGGTTTATAAAAAGAGCTGCGGGGGCCTGAATGAACGCACAATGACACAACTAACTCGTTCTTTTGAATGAAACTTAAGCCAAAAAAGTTAAGTTGGAGTGGTTTATCAAATCTTGCAGACAGAAACAGTCCTAAATATTTAATGTTCTGTCTTAATATAATTTGTTTTGCATTTCATGCCTTCATCAAACTCCCAAAAAATCGGATGAGGGTGTTTTCACATGGAGAATAAGGCCTATAGGTGATTTTAATGATGATCCATTTAATTTTTGAGGGGTAAACATGGGCAAATGAAACCCAGTTTGTTTTTGTTTTTTTTGCACGAGTATGAAAATCTACTAAAGACTTCCTCTACAGTGTTTAATGTCCTGAAACAGGTGGAGAAACCTGATCTGGGGAACGAGTACGAGCAAAGAACAGCCGTCAATGAGTAACCGGTGTTTGGTAACAGCATGCTTAAGAGATTACTGTGGAAAATGTTTGTCAAACACTAAAACACAGAGTCCAGTCTTTGTATAACTTAAGACTCAGCTGGATCAGGGTCCCGGGCCTTTTCCACCTCCTGTGAAGGCAGCAGGAAAAGACCACCGAGATGGTTTCTGTCCCGGGGTGGAGCACTTTTTAACCAGACTGTGCAAAACCTGAGGAAGTGGCTGAGGAAGAGGAGGGTGGGGGTACCGTGCAGACTTGGGGGATGTGAGGAGATGCATCTCCAACATCTCTAACATCTCCACTGACGTAAAACCCATTAACTCATTGACTGTCAGCCATTTTCAGAACAGAGAGTCCCATACTGCCAGAGTTTTTTGAGCATTTTGACTGATTTTTCAAGAGCCACAGAATAGTTTGTGCTATGACTATGTAAACACCGAATACACCAAAAGAAAGAGTAGACTCTCGTCTTTCATCAGGAAAAAGAATTTTGTTTCTACCTTATTCCGTTCTTTAGTAATCAGCAGTAGAACATAGGTTGGCCCGGGTTGATCTCCTTCATTTCCCACGATCGGGACACCAACCGAACTACTGCGATTGCGACACAAACTGTTTGAGTGTGAGCTGCCTTAACTTCCTCGACTTGCGTCTCACCGGCGACATGTTCTCTCATAGCGAACCGTTACCTTTTTCTCCCATCAAAAGTGGCACTGCCACCTAGAGGGTCAATTTGTTACTACATACTCTGTGTAGAAGCCTGATATTTTCGGACAAGCTTTAGCAGATCGTCCCCCAGCCACTCTCGTTGAAAAACATAAAAGACGTCTATAGACGTCTTTGGCAGTCGACGGTTGTATTTGAATTGACGTCTATAGACGTCTTTGGCACCGAGCTTTTTTAGAGGTCTGGTGGATGTTTCCCTGCCCAGCCAACAGACAAAGCTCGGCCGTTACTAGGGGTGGGACGGTTCACAAAATCCACGGTTCGGTTCGATTCACGGTTTCGTGGTCACGGTTTTCGGTTCGGTATATGTTGATTGGTAGGAAAACCTATTAAGTCTTGTATAGTCAGGTTAAAACTGAAAGAAAAAAGCAGTCTGACATTTGATACATTATTGTGACAGTCTTAGGTTAAAAGTAGGTGAGATTCTGGCATTGCAAGCGAGGAAACAGTGCTAATTCCAACATGTGCTTCCCTCTAAATGCAAAGTGTCCCATACAGCAGACCTATAAACTGCTGTTGGCGCGTCGGATTTTTATTTTCGGCTACGCTGCTTCGCTTCTTGTTCTTGTTTCCTACTGGTGGTTGGCTTTGGGCGCAGTAGCGCCACCTTCTGGTCTGGAGTGAACACGCTTCGTTTATGAGAAAAAGGAGCAGCGCATGAACCGAACGCAACACACGCGAACCGAACCGAGACAGTCGAACCTGTTAGCCCGATTCTTTAGTTGGAAACCTGAGAATAAACCAGAGTCGATCAAGAGTAAAAAATTTGACATTCATTGGGTCACAGGTAAAGTATTTCAGCGCTGGGCTCTTCACAGACAAAAACCTCTCTCTCAGGGTCTCAGTCGGCAAAGAGTCATGAGATCTGGGGGTGATGGGTCTTTGTCTCCTTGGCTAGGCACACCCCTCAAAAGGAGGACTGGACACAACCAAGTCCTATTGGTTAGTTACCTCTAAGACTAACAAGCCAGATCGTAAATTCATGTTGGTGACATTGGAATGTGATACCAAATGATGTGTGTGTGTGTGTTGACTTAAAGACGTGGATCTAATGCAACAGAGAAAGAAAAGAGAAAAAGAAAAGATAGAGCAAAGAGAGCCTGTGGTTACAGCCAGAGACTTCATATAGTTCTAAAAGAAATAAAACAATCAGTAATCTACATAGATCATGTGATAGCATCCATCCATCCATCCATCCATCCATTATCAATGCCGCTTATTCCCTGATGGGGTCGCGGGGGGGGAACTGGAGCCTATCCCAGTGGTCAACGGGCGAGAGGCGGGGTACACCCTGGACAGTCCGCCAGTATGTGATAGCATACTATGCTAAAGTGAGTATTTATAACCAAAACCGAACGGTTTTCGGATGGTTTTCAGAAAAACGGTCCCATCCCTGGCCGTTACCTCTCTGAAGG